ATTAAACTCATGCCATAGGAAATATTTCACTAAGTAGCTAAAACAGATGTTAAAAAACAAGAAAAAACAATTACAAATTCTCTCAATCTGAAGTTGGTGGAAAGCAGTATGTTAACATTTAGAACTCGAAATCCAACATGCCGATCTTGACTGGTATGTATACTGTTTTCTCTTGCGCTAACATTGTTTGAATCGGAATGAAAGTGTGTCTTGTTTAAAATACTTTATCCTCGATTTGAAAAGTAGATGCCACAGTTGTATGCTCAAGCAAATGTAGAAGAAACATCTGTAACACTAAAAATAATGTTTATGCGAAACAGACTATAGGTACGTATCTGTATTTTAGTTATTTAAATTGTATTTTAATACAATGCTGCTTACCTCCTCCTGTTCGCCATGGTGAAAATAAAAAAACGAAAATTATAATTATAAAACGAAATACTGTTTTACTTAATATCCTTGATGGGGGGAAATGCTGGCCCCTATTTACGTTTTTTAATATCCTAATATTGTCACTAATAAACAAAACACCACTTAATTCCTTTTCTACACAAACTCTCCTGCTAACCACAGAATTTCAAAAACTGGCCCTGCTGAGCCCGGTAGTCTGATTGGATAATAATCCACCAATCATCTTAAATAACCGCCCGGTTTCGATTACGTCAGTGAGGGCAAGAGTCACCTTCTCCCCCATGGTTGTTGAGGGCATATCGATGGTGTTAGTCGGATGTATACGGATAAAGATAATGGTTAGGATTAGTTTATGCTAGATCCATGTATTCTATATTCTGGTTATTGCATTGACGCCAGGGAGACATAACAAAAGTGTGCAGATAAATTCAGGAAATTAAAATATTTTTGAAAACTTTCTGAATGCAATTTTACGCATATTTAAGTAACCTGTCTTGCAGATAACACGTGCAGTAGTCATGCATTCATTTACTCTGATATTCCAGTTATGTATAGCTATTTTTATGCATTAATTTCACTATTAAGACATATCTTTGTTGATAATATACCTGACTTTACTCGTGAACGACATATCACATGATTAGGTCATGTGATGAAACCCAGAAGGGATATATTATATCTCTGCAAGATTTTCGGAAGTTCAGTTTCATCTTTATCGAAAATTCAGTTTGGTGGTTCATCGAGAACGGAGAGATGATGTAAAATACGTTTCAATGGCAACTATGAAACATAATGTGTTGCAAAGTAGCAAATCATGTCTGCTCTAATTCAAATGCGTATACAGGAATTCTAAACTCTTAAAGGATATTTTAATATGAGTTTTTTAAAGGTACTGTCGGTGTTACTGCTGTTAGTGTCACAAAAGACCACCGCTTCTTTGTATACAATTACAGTGGACGCAAAAAAGCCTGAAAGAGATTTGAAGCATTTCTGGAAAAGCACCGGGTTTTGGTAGGTCTTGATTTCTTTGCACGTCTTGCTTTGAAAACGCAAGTTTCCATCATTCAGTACGGAACGAGCTAGTCATCTGTAGTCAAACACAATATGTAAATGTTTCCATGTCTTTTAAGTCTCTAATTATTAATTAATCGTTGGCATTTTTTGTTAGAGTAGCAACGATTTTAAGGGCAAGCCCATACACATACAGTATGTACAGTATCTTGTTTTGCTATGCATAGACATACAAAAGTATTCACCCCTCTGAAAAATGTCCTCGTTTTTTTGCAGTCTAATATTGCAGTCATGACACTTTCTATATTGTTTAGAATCTACACTATCTACTCCAAAGTGATAAAACTGATACCAAATATTAATATGTGATACACTGGATACGTATTTAACCTTTGCTGTGAAAACCTTAAATCACTTTATGTCCAAAAAGTCTAGTTCACAGAACTAGTGCAGTGGTGTCTGTGTTTAATCAAAGTGGCAAAACGTAACTTTAGAGTAAATGTGTCTAAGTAAATTGCTTTAGATTTTCTGTTTCATGACTTTAATTTTCCCCAGAACTCCTATTACATCTGCATACGTTTTGCTAGGAAGAAGCTTCCACTGAGTGCTAATGTAAGGAGCTGAATAATTTCTCACACTTGTATAGCGCTTTTTCTGGACGCTCCACTTAAAGCGCTTTACAGGTATGGGGGACTCTCCTCCACCACCACCAATGTGCAGCATCTACCTGGATGATGCGACGGCAGCCATAGTGCGCCAGAACGCTCACCACACATCAGCTATCAGTGGGGAGGAGAACAGAGCGATGAAGCAAATTCATAGATGGGGATTATAAGAAGGCCATGGTTGGTAAAGGCCAATGGGAAATTTGGCCAGGACGCTGGGGTGACAGCCCTACTCTGTTCTAGAAACACCCTGAGATTTTTAATGATCGCAGAGAGTCAAGACCTTGTTTTTACGTCTCATCAGAAGGACAGCGCATTTTTACAATATAGTGTCCTCTTCACTATAGTGGGGCTTAGGACCCACACAGAATGCAGGGTAAGCGCCCCCTACTGGCCCCATTTACACCATCTGACAGCCATGACTACTCTAATCTCTCCATCTGTGTTCTCAAAGACTGTTTTCCAAACTCATAAATCAGAAAGACTACAGAAACCAAAATTATCCTGCAGCTAGGATCACACCTTCCCCCTTCTGTTAACGACAGACTACTTTTCTTCTAAAATTCACTCTATTCATTGCAGGTTTCATTTCACACCTCTCTACACCTATTCTGACTTCACACCTCTTTTTGTCCCCTGCTCCCGCCTCTCGCTCCTCCTCCCAACCTTTTTTCTCCCGCTACTTTACCTTTGCCTACTGCCCTGTCTCTCTCACACCTGAAGAAGGCTCCACGGCCGAAACGTTGTGTTCTCTTTCTTCTTTTTTTCAGCATGGAATAAACCTATTACTTGTTCCTTTGCAGCCTACGCATGCGGAAGCAGCTACCCACCTGTAATAATAATAATAATAATGATGATGATGATGTATTATTAGTAGTTGTAAATACTGTGCATCTTGCTTTTTTAGCCCTCCTCTGCCTCATGATACAGCTGACAAATATGTCCTGAGTAAGGACCAGCAGATGAACCTGGCATATATTGGCTCCATCCCCCACAAAGGCATCGAACAGGTTCGGATTCATTGGTTGTTGGAGCTTGTCACCGTGAAGTAAGTCTTTCATAACTTAGGCTTACACTTTCCTAGTTACAACCTCAACCTCTGCTTTCATCTGCAGGATTATACCTGTAATTTGAAGTATATATTTGAGTAGCAGCCCTTGCACCACTAAGCTGTGTTTTTTGTAGTTAGTTCTTAAAAAAGATCGTCTTAGCAAGACGCAAATTAATCAATATATTTAACATAGCAGGGGGAATTAACAAAATTATTTTTAAAAAGTAATTCTGAAAGGGAGAAGTTCAAATTTTCCTGCATCGTGTATTAGCTGTTAGGCTGTTCCTATTCTGCATGCCAGTGAAAACTAATACAAGGAAGTGGTGATTGAGCACGTCTTTCAGTTGTTCATCAATTTTGTTTGGTAAATACATGATCGTTTCATCTCCTAATGGACTCCCAGAAAAAAAACACATTCCAATATACCACAAATTTTGTGCTGTGCTAGTGTAGTGTTACATACTGTATATACAAAGTTTTGCTGACTGGAGCTTCTTTAATAGATTTAGTGCAGGTTTTGTATAAATGGCAGCATAAAAGGCAAGTATCCAGCCTTGTTCAATAGAGGATGTTGTATTCTCTGTGTTAATTTGGCCCTTGACCTCTGTTCTGCTAACTGACTGCTAATGTATTTAGTTCATGCTTTGGTTTCATTATGAAGTCTTCCACTTAACAACAAATCTCCTTAGTTAACTGTAAGTCTCTTCTAAAAGAAATTCACACAGACCCATGGAATGAAGAATGAGAGGTGAAATTCTGTAGAATGCAACAGTGCTCAAACATATTATTGAATGAACAGATGCTGCAGAGCTATGTACAGTATACAGTTTATACTGTAGATTGTAATTGCTAATATGGTATGCTAACTTTTGTTAAAATCTGGCTGTCGGAAATAAAATGAAGAAAAGCAGAGCTCAGGCTTATAAAAATACCAAGTTAACAAAAATTGCATTTGAATACATAGCATCTTTAGGTAGCAACGAAGAAAAAGGGTCCACACACATGAATTTGCTAATCATCAAATTATAATGATCTTATTTATTGTCTGTTACACATATACATGGAATATGTATCAAGGGGGTTTGTGTTTTTATTTGTTAGAGTGAGCTGCTTTACATTAAATGCCCAGAACATTGCCAAAGCCAAAGTGTATCGCAATTACCTTGTAAAGACATCACAGCAAAACACACAATTCAGACACTTCATGAGTTTTAGCAGCTGAGAATTTTTATTTATAATCTTTCCTTTGATTCTTGGAATGATTTACAGGTATTATTTTTTAAATCAGAGGTGAAGGGCTTTGTTTACTTCTACTTCTACAAATGGTTCTGTGGAACCATTTGATGGAACTGCACTAAACTAGCAATTACCCAACTTTTATGAAGAATCTAATCCAGTAAATGAATGACATAGTTGTTTGAACACTGGACTTGGTTTAAAAATAAATGTATCAGTCAGTTTGTTAGTGTAATAACCAAATTTTAAAAAGAATGATAACTGATATAAATGACAATTTAATTATTTACTATTCATTCCAATTTATGATTTTTGTGCAGTTTCTAAGACAAAACAGTCTGTCCCCATCCTGTGTTTTTTTAACTGCATCTGTTCACTGGATGTATTAAATTACAATTTCAGGGCTATTTATAATCACTCTGAGTGTTTCTTTATTAAATGAGTAGATAAGTGAATTTGTTTTAAGTGGAAGTTTTCATTACAAAAATTTCATAATTATCTTCAATCAAAACCCACTCGTACAGCTGACAGAAGGCTGACTGGGTAATGAGATCAGCACAATGGTGCAGTGTTTCATTCTCTGATCTGTTCGTAGTTCTGTGAATGTTGTGCTTTTATTCCGGAATCCTTGTGTCTCTTTCATAAATACAGCAGAAACTGTGATAACTTTGCTTGAAAGGAGCTTCAAACATTTTCGTTTTTTTTTCAACTTTTTACAGATATTCTTTATTTTATTGGGATTTAAAAGCAGTGCATTTTGTATATGATAAAATATGTGTCTGACATGTTGTGTATAATACAGACTCATTCACTGAAACCTGATAGGGGCTTTGGCTGATGAGAAAATGGTTGTATCTCCTCTGATTTACTGTAGTTCCTGGAGACTCTAAGTTGATGATCTAAGTTTTATTGCCATTCTTGTCTGTCCTGGTATACTCTCAAACTAAAATGAAAAAGTACAAAAAACAAAACTTGCAGATTAATGCCCAGATTGCTATGAAACCTCTGGCACCCCCTGCTCTCAGATATTCTAACCTATGATACAAAGATAGTGCCAAAGATAACCAATCCACTGTAGGATTTAGTACTGACATTTAAGAAGAGGCTCTGGCTCTGTGTCAACAGATAAGGCATTATGGTTAAGTTTTGTAATTTCCCTGGCTTCTGAGTGTTAAGATAAAGGGCAGAGTGTAAAAAACTGGTAGCAGTCCTTTTTATGAGTTTGTCTTGAGGTGCTTTGCATGCTTTACTTTATTTTGATTGCTACTCTAAGCCAAGATTCTTCGTCAACTTGATGGTAACATTTCACAAATTATTCATCAGAAAAAAATATTAATTAGAAATAATTATTAATTAAAATGAGTTGATGCTCAGAAATAAAGTAAAATTATTCAGTAGTTTCTAAAAGGGTACATACAATTAATTATTTTGTATCAACTTTGTAATCAATGGGAGGAAAATAATTCTGATATAAAGAAGTATGCAACAAAGGCTTTCATGTGCTTTTGTTATGTTTTCTCCTGCATCTTGGGTGAATATTAACCTCATCAGTTGCATTGAGTGTTGTTCACACATAGATCATTTGGAACTCCTGTTTATACACACCATTTCCCTTACTGGCAGTACTACACGACTGATTGACTGACTGCAGGTTCTCTGCTGTTAGCAAAGAGAACAGCACTATGAACTGAATAAAATGACAAGTTGCTGATATCTTTGTCATCTGTCCCAAAGAAGCCCCCCCGTTTTAAAGAATCTATCACAGAAGGATTACAGCAGGCTAGGATGATGCTAACACCAACTTCTTTGTACTCTTTGAGAACTCCCTTAAAGGTTACAATCCCTGTGCTATCCAAGAATGGAATAGAACAGCAGTCTAAGATAATAGTGTGAAAGTCCAGCTCTTGGGAAACTAAGCTGGTAGTGACATCTCCATTGTTTTTTTCTAAGCAGTTTACCGTGACCTGCTTGTTAGCCAACTCTTTGGCCTTTTTCTCTGCTTTCCTCCTCTTAGTAACCTCTAGGAAGGGCTCCAGCCCCACAGCCTTGTACAGTGACTTCAGGAAAAAATCCTTGTTTGCGTAGTACAATGGTGCCTGGAAGCGGAAAATCTTCACTTTTGGCACTACCAGAAGGTTATCGTACTCTCCACTGTCTTCATAGAAGACAGTGTCTTGGATCTGGCTCAGAATGGCCACTTGGGGAACCTGCGTCCGTACCAATATGCAGAGCATGGAGAAGATGACTCCAACCAGCAGTCCCATTTCCACACTGATCAGAGCTGATGATAGCATGGTGATGGACCAGACAATGGCATCCACCTTGTTAAGGTGCCATTGCTTGGGCACATCCCGGAACTTGCGCAGGGCACCTCTCAAGCTGACAATGATAATGCAGGCCAGAACACACTTCTGCAGGGAGTAGAAGAGAGGTGCAAAGACTAGGAGGATCAGAAGGACAACCAAAGCACTAATAATGCTGGAAACCTGTGTTTGGCAGCCGGTGGAGTCTTTCACCATGGTTTTGGCCAAAGCCGCGCTGGTGGTGAAGCAGTGGAAGAAGGATGGTATGATGTTGCAAAACCCTATGGCCATCATCTCTTGGTTTGGTCTGACTGTGTAGCCATTCTTCTTGGCAAACATCTCAGAGAGTGAAACTGTGAATGCAAAGCTGATCACGGCAAGAGGAATGGCATCATACGCCACCCTTGGCATCAGCTCAAAACTAGGCACCTTTGGGGGAATGAAACCTGTTGGAATTGCCCCTGAGATACTGGAGCCATACAATCCGTTGAGATCGGTAAAATGGGACACCAGCGTCGCCACCGTCACCACCACCAGCTCAGTTGGTAAAGGGATCTTCAGGCGGTCCTTGTAGCGCTCGCCAAGCTCCTTTGCTCCCACCAGCACTGCGATGCAGATGGCACTAGTGATCATATCACAGAAGTTTGTCTTGTGGATATTCTTAAAGATATTGATCCAGGTGACGATTACAGTGCCAAATCCCTGGTGGCGTGGGATCTTGAGACCCAGTAGGTATTTGGCCTGCACAGTGAGAATTGTGAGTGAGGCACCGGTAGCAAAGCCATCCAGCATTGGTGCAGATAGATACACTGAAACAAAGCCCAGCTGGAAGACAGCCATCAGCACCTAGGATGAAATAAAATTCATGTGTAAGCCATGAAAGTTTTTGCATTGTATGTTTATTAATTTAATCTTCCATGTGCACCCACAAAAGTATTAACAGTTTAGTTTGCTGTTACTATATTGATGAGTTATTATGGACATTTCTTGCTTATTACAAAGTGAATGAAGAGCATTTTGACACCACTATTAGAGACTTTCATATTATTCAGAACCTGACTTTACCTGGTAAACTCCAGCTAGAAATGTCAAGGCCGCAGCAATGCTGATGGCATAACACTCTTTCCCACATTCCATGCTTAAATCCCCCAGGGTTAAGTTAATGGCAGAGACATTAGAGGTACCACTACTGTTCCATACGTCTCCAGAGTTCAGAGTGTCTGCCTTGTTGTCCTCACTCAGATCAAACCCAGCCAGATACATCTCTCGGTCCACAACCTGACCAACCATGAGGCTCATCAGGCTGAATATTCCCACAGACACGTGCCGAGAGGTCCCCATGAAGAAATAAATGATGTTAGCAAAAAAGGAAGTATACAAGCCATAGATTGGCTGAAGCCCAGCCAAAAGACAGTAGGCTATTGCCTGGGGAACAAGGATAATCCCCACGATGAGGCCTGACATGACATCACCCCAGACATACTCCTTAAATTTGTATTTGGGCAGCCACTGGACCACAGGAAAGAAGCCTGTGACATTGCTTTTCAGCTTTTTAGCTGAGCAGGAGAAGCTGCTGCTCAGTTTTTTCCGCAGTACTGCCTTCAGATCCCTTCTCCTGCGCGTTCTTCTCTCCAGATGGCAGACATTTTCACTGCCCTCTTCCTCCATTCTCTGCAAGAGCACTGGCTCGTCACTGCAATGTTAAGACCAGCTCCTGAAATGATAAACAATTCATAGTGAACCGGAGTGACTGGTTTGTCACTGGTGAGTTACAAATACAGCACTCTTACGTACATTTTGATCTACTAAATTTTGAATTTTGAATTCCAGACGTGTTAAGCAAAAACCTTGCAGATAAAAAGGTTTCAACCTGGGAAAAGTGTCCACAAACATTCATGACGTATCCATTATCTTCAGTTTACAGTTTTCTTCTCCTGAAGACTTTTACAACTTTCTACAGATATACTTTTATTATTTTATTGAAATTTTAAAATAGTGCAATTTATTATATGATCAATACAATCATGAAGTGGAAATAGAAATGATTTTTTCAGCACCATAAATATTGATTCTTATTCCATCTAAAGCAAAGTTCTGTTTTTTCTTAATGTGATACTTGTCATAGTTTTCAGTGAGTATAATGATTACAACTATTGAAAATTATTGCAACATGTAGAGGACTGAGATCTCAGCTGAATTCCACTTTTTTATAATTTTACAGCAGCATTTATTTCACACAGAACGCACCCAAATCAGTTGCATTTTTAGGGCTGTAGACTATATATGAACCAGATACCAATGTTAAATATTTGCTGTGGGCACAATAAATAACATGAGGAAATAAGTGTTTAAATAGCTGCTCTGTTCTTGGGAACAGTGCCCTGAGAAACAGCATGATGAATATAAAATGTATTTGTTGATCTAAAAAGCTTAATGTAAAATCAAGCTTTACACAGTTTAGTGTATTAAAATTAAAAACCAGAAAACATTGTGCTGAGACCATCCTGACACATAGAGCAAATGTATTTTGAGATCGGTGAATTTGGTGTCCTCAGAGATCAGACCCTAAAAAAACACAGATACTGGGTCATATATTCATGTATAGTAGGTTAGTACCCATTGGTGCCCCTATGGATTTTAAGTTATTAATGATTAGTTTTAGGGGACTGATGTCACTTAGCCCCTTCTCCCACCGTAAAGTAGGTATATCAAAACTTAGATGATATTTTTGTGTCTGATGGGGCCCTAGTATAGATCCTTGTGCAGCCGGATGATATTTATATAACAAATATGGAAGTGTTGACAGAAAAGTAAACAATTTCACTGTGCATGCAGGCACTTAATTTAAAAACTAAGGGGCTTTAGCATCGCAACCACACATACAGCACACATTTATGTCCTCTAATGTGATTTTTAGTGCCCCATTGTCACTGTATTACCCAAATATTGTTTAAAATAGAGTAGCTAACTGGCACAAGACTTTTTAAGCATTTGTGAGAGAGTGTTACACGAAACATTTTCATTTGGCTTACCTTTTTGGACATGATTTAAAAAAAAATTGTTGCCTGTGCTCCAGCTATGAGAGCATGCTTCAGCCTAAAGGTTTGCTATCATGTGACAATCTAACTATCTAACTATCACAAGCCTGAATTACATTTGTAAATTGTACTTGATTGAGCACAAGCAAGAGTGTAATTGTCCTTATCTCTACGAGTAGGAAGGCAAATCTCAAAATAAAAGAAACATCTGTCAATTATAAAATCAGAATTAACTTGATGGGCTTGATGACATAATTTTGTATTGAGGTTCTAAAGACTTTCAAGCAGGAATGTTGCTTTTGCAGTCCATTTTTATGGACTCTTTGTGCATCAGTATACATACGTAATACTATTCGGAAATGTTCACTAAGCAATAGTTTTATAGACCTCAGATACCAAAGTACTTTACATATAGGAAAAGACCCATTTCACCACAGTGCAAGCAGCCCAGCTACTGTGCATATCAGATCAGGTGGAGAATTGAGAAATTGCTTTACCAAATGAATTAAGGGTCCTTAGGGAGGACAGACCTAGCTTGCTTGCATATTTTGTGACCATGTAGTGAGGATGTTGTTTTTTCACAGCACAGTGTCAGTGGGCACCATTGTGGAACACTGGATTAGGAAGTCAGGCCCATAGGAAAGAGCACCACCTTCAGGTTCACCAACACCACTTACAGCAGCTACCTGGTTTTCCTTGGGGGTCTCCTCTCCCAGTACCCCCAGGTCTAGCCTGGCTTAGCTTCTGAGACCTGACAAGATCAGGCCAGAGACTGGAAATGACGCTGTTAAATCCTGATCTGCGACACCAACTCTAATGGTTAGAGACTCGGCAAGACCTGGTCTAAATGATGCACAAAGATAGTGGAATTTAAGGGTGATTGGCTTATATCTCTTTGTACTCTAGTCATTGCTTTGGCGATATCTTGGCTTCCAAAACAAATAACAGATTTCCTCTTTAGAAATGTGCACAAGGCATCAACAGTAACCTGAATTTTTTTTGCTTCTGATCATCATTTAGATAGATAGATACTTTATTGATCCCATGAGGGAAAATTGCAGTGCAACAGCAGCTTAACACAGACAACACAACAACAGTGTAATGAATGATACAATAATAATAATAATAATACAATACAATCAGTGCAGTGAGAAGTGCACTAAGAAGAGTTACACACAGTCCAGAACACACAAAGAACAAACCAGAACAGAACAGTACACAAAAAAGTCGTATTGCACAATATGAATATAAATATAAATGTATTGCACAGGTCTCTGGCATATATTGCACAAAAACAGTTGTAAACGAGAAAAGAAAAAGATATATCAGTTTATTTTTTTCCTGCTTAAAGTAAGCCAGTTTAGTTTGTTTTCCTGTTTTTTGCACTTTCTGATGGTATCTCACTTAATTCCTGAAAGTATAACAGCATGCATATCATACAGAGACATCTCAGGCTCACACATGTGCCTACAATAGCTACTGATCTGAAATAACCCTAAAACTTAATCTTTTGTTTGTTCATAGACAAAAGATTAACTTAGGCTAAAACCTTCACACCCTATTATATCATATTTATGCTTATTAATGATCTTCCTTGACTCTTGGAGTAAATACGCCTTGAACTGTGAAAATAATTAATACCAGATTTTATACCTTCTCACTCATAAGAGCAGATACAAGTTTAAGAAGACAAAAGCAATCATTTAACATTTTAAGTGAAAATGAAGTACTTTCAAATAATGTGTTCTGGGCTCTTGTATAACTGTACTCCCAGTACCCTAAATTTGAGATCTGTAAACATGTACAGATACTTGTGTAATCAAATTTGCTGCTTTAGTCTTGAAACACACATCATTGTTACAAAAAGTGAAGCTAACATTTTCCGGCTGCACATTTAGCCTTACATAAAGGAAACATGACATCCAACAGCATGAAATCAGCAGTCCTTGTTTGCAGGATAGCAGCTTGTCATGACAGAATTTATTTTAGGATTTCCAAGGAAATGGATCAATTGAGACACTTTCTCAGCGATTGCAAAAGAGCAGTCATTTAGTTCATAACAGGTGTTGCTCTGACTGTGGCAGAATTGTAATTGATTACATTTATTGTTGTGTATCAATGCATTGTATTTATGTATTTTTACATGTATATCTGAAACATTTTTAAATAGTAGATGCTGCTCTGTTATTATTTCTTTAAAAATCACCTACTGTACAGTATGTGGCCTCAGTAATGAAAAATGACTATTGCATTTAAAGTGTTTAGATGTTTTCAATTTATATAATGAGCATCAAAATAAATGTATACTCTAACTACAACAAATTCAAAAGTTAGTATTAGGAAGATTACTTTTTGTAGCAGGTGCACTGGTATTTATTGAACAGGCAAGATGGGCAAATTCATTAAGCTGGATAACATTTGTCATCAACAGCATTTATCAACAGCAGGTATCCTGTGAAAGTCACAGGCTGATAACATGTGTGACCTCCAGTGGAATTAATGCAAGCTGTACATATGCTAATGCATACATTAGCAGATGGTGTCTGCAAGGGTTTTGTGCTCCATTCCTCTTACAGAGTCTGGACAAGCAGGTGCCTCTTCAAAAGTCTGAGTCCTAGATCCTCACATTTTCAGTGGGGCTCAAGTGTAGAAAGCAGGACACTCATAACATACCTGTTACTTTCTCATTTTGCAAAAACGTTCCTGCTCCATGAGCAGCATGAGGATGTGTATTGTTCTAGCAGCAAGGAGGTGAGGTTCCCAGACTTGATCAATGCAGTGCTGTGTAGTGCAAGTTGGCAGGAGGATCTAGCTGCTACAAGTGGAGTACTATAGCAGCTAGACCTTCCTGCAAACAAGTATATGTAGACCTCACTATTGATTTATCTGTTGTACACAACAATTGGCATATCATTCTGCACACCTGCATCATACTCACTGATGTCCATTACAACAATGTATACAAAATTGATTAATTACTAAAGAGGATCTGGCCCCACCACTGTACTGTAGCTCCTACATACTGTACCAATGGCATGGGAGCATTGTTCTCTTGATAAGGGACATATGTTGGTTACTTTCTGCATTTTTATTTTCTTGTTTTTCTTACTTGACATTTTACAGGTTAAATCAGCATTTCCCTTGGGCGTGTCATTACAGGTTCTTAAAAAATAGGCAGGTCCTAGCAAACAGACCACAAAACACAGCTGTAAGGTTTACAAACACACTAGTGCCTTTATTTACAATGCATGGAATTGAAACTACAAACGAAACACCAAAACAAAACAATAGCTTAAGTTATTTGAGCTCCAGACTACAATTCTTGAAGTACCTAACTAAAGTGGCCGAGCAACATAACTGCTTACCAGTCTCCAAATAAACAATTCTCAAAACCAATCTCTCAGATTTTTCTCAAATTCTTTCAGCTAAACATCTCTCTCTCCGAGTCTTTTAATCAGTCTTCCAAAAACTCAGTTTCATTTGTCCTTAGTGATGCATCCAGGGATTTGGGGTTGGGGGTTCAGCACCCCTCAAACTGACTGTTTTAAAAGCGAGAAGCAGAGGCTTATTATGTCAGTCACCTGGCCAATTGAATCCCTGCAACTGGTTAGGTGACTGATAACAGCAGCTCGTTCCCCCAGAGGAATTGGACAGTGCATATAAACATATTGCAACACACCTCACCCCTCCTCACACTCTAAAACACAAGCACATTATTATTGATGTTATGAACATTATGACTGTGAAACATGAAGGTCTTGCTCAGCTACACTCAGACGTTCTCCGGTTTTGTATTTTTTATGCCAACCAAACTTGAAAAATATTGTGTAACAAATACCATTCCCACAGAAGGAGTCTCAAAGTGTGAAGGTTACCTGTATTTTGTGTGTACACCCAATATGTAGCCCAATACTTGGGTAGCATGACAAAACTAATATATTTAAGCAAAACTTAAGTTTTCTTTTTTTCAGTCTTTTCCAGAAGTACGCAACATTCCATTTAATGTCTAAAGGCACACCAGTGTGCACCAATAGAGACCATTGGGTTGAATGATCTCTGTAAAACCAATTCTTTCACTGCTGAGGTGATTTAGTGGTTATGCATTAATCTGAGTCACTCCAGTGTGTCAAGGTCAGTCATGAGTGATCAATTGATCAATAACATTTGAACAATATCCATAATACATTTACATATTTTACTAACACCACACATGTGGTGTTAAAAGAGCAACAGCTTTTTTCATGCTTATTAGTCTATCATCATTGTCAGGTGCTGGTGATAGACTCGTCCCAAAAGAGCACTAACATCATGAGAGCAATGTTCACTTTAGTGCATCGCCTGCAAAGATTCAAGGATTTCTGAAAACATGCCGAAGGAAACTTCGAGATAAAAACTGATTTTGAAACGACTGAGTTTGTGTCAGTATTGCTGATTATACTCAGCATAGGAATCCAATTCCTGCCCCCAAGTTACCATCCATTTATAATATCTGCATTGTGTACACAAGTATCCATCTTAGGGTACTGTTTCAGTTTTTACTTGGGACACATGAACTCAGTCACTATATGTGGCCAACCTGGCAGCCCCCTTCTGGTGAGCATGCATGCCTGTTTTCATCAAGTAATTATCTTGTTTGATTATTCCTCCAGGTCCTGGTAATTATAATAAATGCAAATTTGGTTCTTAGATGTGTCTTGCAATCTCCATAAGTCATTTCATAAAAAAAAAACTTCAACATGCAAATGATAATTGTAACTATAAATATTTTTGTTCAGAAGAATTTAATAAAAACATTTGTAAATTATAACTTTTTTTTATTTGGCTAGCACTTTTATTCAAAATGACTCAGTTCAATTATACAGCAATTAGCTATTTTTAACTTTCAAGTTAAGAGTCCAGAGCTGTTGTATTTTGTTTAACAAAAAGGTCCAGATTTAAGATACCACAACAGTTGAACTGGAGTAGGTTAACTTTTTACAAGATAAAATATGTATTGCTCATTGCAAGACTAAAAATTCTTAATTAAAATTACAGAAGTTGTCAAATTAGCTGCCTCTGTTTACCAGATTATCCTATACTTTGTCTAATCTAGAATAGACAAATTAAAAAGCAATAGATTAACTGTTACCATAGCACATCTGCTCCAGATTTCTGGAAGTTTTATAAGACCAATTGTCTTCTCTTGAATAGCATGCACTGATTCTCCTTTCAATTCTAAAACATACATTTCAAATGCAATCGTTAAACAATGGCCCTTGTAATGTACACAGAAGAGCAACTCACCCACTCAGAGCTTGTAGCTCCTTGTCAGAAGATTGCAGAACTAAGACACATTGTGAGATCAGGAGATGGAAGGGAGAGATGGGAGGGAGAGAGGTGGAGAAAAACAGAGACAAGGGATTCATGCACTCCTGCTTCTCATACAGTCTCGCTCTGAGGGAATGAGTAGTGAGCTAGTGACCTAAGTAGCACCCTGTGAGGATGTGTTTCATGTGATATTCGTAAAATCGTAGGCAGTGCCTTTCCTAACAGCAAGTAATATTATAGGCTGTTTGAATAGGGGGTGTGGATGGATCACCAATGTGGCTAGCCTGTTTTTCTCTCTTTTTAATGCACTAAAATCCTTTTTCGGATTTAGCCCTCATGCAGTCTGATCAAGGGCAATAGGGCAGTACAAGTCAATATTTTACTGACTAACCTGCCTTATCTTTCAAACCAACGCTTTCCTGTTTTTGGGAGACAGCCATGCTGAAGCAATTGCAGTGCAGATATGTCAGTGTACCACCTGTATTTTGTTTGCCTGAAGCAGAAGTTAGTTACAAGCCTTGGATTTATCTACATTTCATTTAACAATAGCAATGTGTTTTGCTCCATTGATGAGCAATGCAATGGGTAATTAGTTGTTCTAAAACATCGCCTGCTAATGTTAGGATATTCAAGTGATATTCAGGTTGAGCCCATATTGTGTAGGAGGTGCACCAGTAGCTTGACAAATCAGAATACTTGTTAAAACTGGTAAGAACAGGTCATGTCCTGTATTTGAGTATTTTGAAATCTAAGATTAGTTCATCTTTTATATTTTCTTTTGAAATCCAAGTCACATAGTTGTTTTTCAACAAGGATATAAAAAGTGTTTTCTTCTTTCAGAGACCAGATAGATGCCCTATTTTAAAGGCCTGGTGCATCTCTTCTCTGATGTAGTTATTTTAAAGGCATACACAGGCTACATGATGCGGATGTTATTTTGAAATTAGCATTGAAGTGCCAACTCTCCTTTCTAATGCATCTCTTTGTCCAAATCCACTTCTATTGCAGTTTTTCTGAGTCCTGGCTTAAGCCTGTTCGCAACACATTTGTCACTCCTCGGTGTGGTTTAAAATGCCCTGCTGAATTCACTCTCCATAAGAATATGAAACTCTGCAAAATAAATTAGTTTGCAATGTATGTATTTTCCCTGTTGTGAGTTTACTCTCACATATGTACTGCTCCTTGATAAATTAGAGAAAATATATTCTGATTCACTGTTTTAAAGCCATATGAAAAGGAGGATTGAAAAAAAGACTACCTTCACACTGCAAGAAACATTAAAGCTGCTGACCAACCAAAGCCAATTGGTTTGCTGTGCCAGTAGTACACTTTAAACACTTGATCTATTGCTGGAATCACAAGAGACATTCTGTTTGAATTCCGTTTGAATCAATTGCTGGATGATACGGAGAGAGACATACATCCACATGAAAAGTGTGCTTTCATTTCTGTAAATGTGTTGTTGGGTGTTGAAGCAGAAACTGTGACTGAACATGTGACACTGCCTTCTTTGTTATATAGTGGGTAAAACTTATTTTTCTATTACCATGGATAAATGAGTGTGCTGTTTCTGGAATGACAGCATGCATCCTCAATTAAAAACATGAAAGGAAAATAACTCACTACTACTTTTGAAAGCACTGTCTCCTTTACAACCTTATAAATCTTAATGGGATTGAAAAGAAAAATCCTTTTGGAAATTTTGTAATATTAATCTCTGAGATTAATATTACCTCTTAATAGATTGCCTAGATGCCTTTACTTTTTCTAAAATGATGTTAAGAACTTTTCATATGAAATTTTAATGGGCCATATAAGGGAAAGCATCTGTTCAAACTTTTTACAGGTATGAAAGATTTTTAATTTTAATTTCTCATTTTAACTTTTAAATCATTGAACATTTTTTTCATCCTCTCAATTTAAATGTTTATGAAGTACTTCAGAATCACATTGACTTATCAATGAGAGATGACTCGGACTATAGCTATCATAATCACAGCAGCAGTAACTTCGTGGGAGGAAGTAGGATCACGTTGGTCATAGTTAAGAATGTCTGCATAAAAGCTGGAGACTGAAGTCTTATTCTAACTCACTGTCCAATAGTCCTTCACGTGACTCACAAATGAAGCATTTGATTTACAATTTTGCCTGTGACTGTTAGTGCTCATACTGTGTTGATTTCAATTGGGGTGCTTATAAATGACGCAGTTTGTCTGCTTACAAAAAATATAACCTCAGCAGTTACATGGCACATGCTTTATGATACTCTGTACCTAATGACTGAGAAAATAATTCTGCTTTTTTGTTTTTTTAAAGGAGCGGTATGAATCCTCAAAAGAACATATGTATTCGTTAGACTGCAGCAAAACTGAATTACATTTTAAACAGTGCAAAGCATATAACATGTAACTAGTAGTTCAGGTGGGTAGCTGCATCAGCATGCGTAGGCACCTGAAGAAGGCTCCACGGCCGAAACGTTGTGTTCTCTTTCTTCTTTTTTTCAGCATGGAATAAACCTATTACTTGTTCCCTAACATGTAACTATGTTTTAAGCAGGACCACCACAGTAACTACCCTAGATGCTGACTGTAAGCAAAAACCATCATGCATTAAATAGTACAAAAAAATAAAGGTAAAGTCCACACCAGAGCTACTACAGCTCATCGGACCTGAACTCATCCATCTTTCTGTATCGTTAAGAGGACAAAAAAAAAAACACGACCCCCGAGGCAGTTTACCATGTTGATAGCCGGGTGGACAGGAGCAACTGGGGTAAAGTACCTTGTTCAGGCTCAACATAGGTGTCTGCAGCAGGGATTAGAACATACTGTACAATACACGGCTATGTACGGGTCCAGTGTTTTTCATTTTGTTGCAAGTTCAGAAATGATTGTAGTAATAGTCAGAAAAATGACAGACTAATGACAGACGAATATTTTAAATTACAATGGCTCATGCCATTTTCCTAGTGCAGTATCACCCTACACTGTGAAGTAGCAATGCTAGCCACTGCACCAATGTACCACCCCAAATCCAGACATTACTTCTGTTATGGCGTCTGCTGAGTAGCACACAATAAGATGATATCTACTGACCTAAGCTCAACTCACAGGCATGTTTTTTATTTTGTATTAGTTTTTGATTGCTAGTGTTTCTCAATTTAAGAGTAGTCTGGCCAAACGTAAGTTATTATTATAAGTAAAACCCCTTTTTCTGTTTTTTCTGGTTGCATAAGCCTAGTTCCTTTAGGTCATCTTTCAGTGTGGTGTGAGGGATAAGTTCACGAGAGCTGTTCTTTCCTTCCCTGTGTTCCTAAATTTCAGATACAGTAGCTACACTGCGGGAAACTACTGTCTCACACCGTGATGCAACTCATCTTAATATTATTCCTTTACATTCAGTTTTCATGTTCTTTAATGTTACATCTTCATAACTGACAAAATATTTAGCTGTTATTTGTATTACTCTGTACAGCTCTGATTTTACTAAAGGAATAATAGTATGTGCACATAATTGATGAATTGATGATACAGCTGCATCTTTAAAACATGCATTTGGATGTGATTATATTATGGTCTTATCACTCTGCATATATCAGTTAATGTATGAGAGTAGTCTAATATCTGTATGAATTGAATCCTAAGGCTTTTTCAGTTTCTGTCACACAGTATTTTAGTTTTCATACAGGCAATCGTTACCATACCATAGTACAGTGTTCGTGTACAAATTAGGGGATATTTACGTAAAGACACAAGCTTGTGTGAGTGATTCTAATGCATTGAAGAAAAATAATTTAGGAATATTATTTGTAGACTATATATCCTGGTTATCTGTATCATAGAGCCTCATATGTGCTAGCAACACAGGCCATAACTAAGACTTAGATGACTATCATCCTTTGTTAAAAAGTATTTCTTGGGCAAATTCAAGAAAACGTTTGTATTTTAGCAAATTTTAAATTGTTTAATTAATGTAGAATTAATATATGTTTTACTTTCTTCTTGGAAGTACTATCAGTGTCTGAATTTCATAATTAATATTTAAAAACTTCTCCACAGTGATGTTTGACTTCAGTCTTTATGGAAAAACTGCACACAATATGAAATAATTTGCAAAAACTGGACTTATTATATATAATTATATATAATTAACCAATAAAATCTCACACTTTTTCAATATTAGTTCTATTTTAATAAATTAAATAAATGTGCTTTATTAATTAATTATTTTATTAATTAATTAAGTTGTACTGAGTCTTTAATGGTGCTGTTCTTATTTTGAAATTTGAAGAACTAAGGTGGGAAAATATAGGAAGACTGTAAAAAACATGAGAGATGACCCCAGAAGTTTGACATTACAGCATCACACACACCGTCACTAATAATCACTCCCGCCCAGGCCATATCAAGCCAGTCTTCATTCATGCTTGCATTCATTTACATAGTTATTGACAGGTGCAGCAATTACAATATTCTAAAATGTTTTTAATACTAAATGAGATATTGAAAATCCACTAAATAGGCAAACTGCTTTGCTTTTTCTGCATTTTTTTCCTTTCTAATTCCAAATAAGCTAATCATATCTACTGTACATTTAAACATGAGAATTGAAAACCAGAGCAGGGTGTTGAAGTTGTTCAAACATAAATAAGAAGCCCTGAGGAATTATAGTTCATACAGTATGTAAACAGTGACCAGCATGTTCTTTGAGTAATACTTTCTGTTCTCGTGCACCTCCGGTTATGTTTATGTCTCAGTAGTTGCTGCTTCTGTTGAGAACATACTGTAGGCTGCAAGAGAATGCAAAATGATATATCCTTCTCTGTAAAAAAAGACATAAAGGCTTACCCTTTTCATCTAAGCCTTTTCTCTTTGTTGCTGCTGTCTGTTCCATGCCTTCGTTGCTGGGGGATGCCATCTGCTCTGGCTGAGGTCTGCAATAGAGCGCCAGTCTGCCGCTAGTGGATGCTTCAGCAAGACGTAGGCCTCATTCTCCTGTCAGAGAGCAGTAGGCCTTCCTCTGCAGGGACAGTTGCCATGGATACTTATGTTATTACTGCACTTGCCACACAGATCAATGGTAAATGGAGTCTCTGTATAAAAAGTACCATACGGTGTTTTTAAGTCCTAGAAACCCACCAACACTACAGATCCTCAATGAAGCCACAATCTTAAGTCACTTATATTAAAA